GTGTTACGAGGATCGAATTATTTTTACTGAATCTGTCACGCAATCCCAGACTTTTCTAGAATTATCTATAATCTGTAATATTCCAGAAACTTCTTTCATGTGACTCAGCAGTTTCCAAAAATAGTACAACTTGTAATACGCTATCAATAGTAATAGAACATTCTAGATAACTAAAGTAAAGGTATAAAAGCTGGCTTGTGAGAAGTACATAAAAGATTTGCCCGAGGGCTTACCCTCGTGGCTTGCTGACTGAACTTTTGGAAGCTATGATATGACGAGGCTATGACCTTTTGACCTTGCGATATTCGGAGAGAAGGAAGAGATGAAAAAGACGATAGTCGAGAGAGGAAGAAGATAGAGAATACAGAGTTTACTATGGAGTCCTCCGGAAGAGTTTATGTACAAGGAAAGAATGCGATAAATCAAGAAAGCCAAGCGCTGTGGTCTTCAGTCTGCGGATGTTAGAATTGGAAGTTGATCAAGACGACGAACACTTACACGGCATGAAGGATTGTAAGCCTGCTTTATGAACTGCTTAACTTAATCTTTAACCTAAGTAAATTAAACAATGTAAAACTAATTCAATAATAGTTGAAATGGGTAACTGCTTGTTGTTACATTTTTGTCGCGTGCCATATATCATACTTGGGAGTTTATTTTCATATATGCTTTGTTAGCGGACATTTCTTGGTCATTCGTGCACGTAACAATGGCTTGCTAACTATCCAACACTAGCCCCCTCCATTTTGGTGAATAGTTGTTTAATCACAGCTCAAGTATAAGTCTGCCTCATGACTTACCATTTCCCATTGACTAAACACTCTACTGGTTCACTTGGCAAAAATTCCTTCTCCAATACTTTGCAACACTCCTGTACCAGCATTTGCAGTGTTCTTGTACCTATTCAAAATAATTACCAATTTAATCACCTGTACCCAAGTATCTAACTGCCATAGGTGAATTAAATTTTAGTTTGCTTCTTGCTTTGCAACAATTTCATTTTCTTTGTGTGGCCTGGAAATTGGCAAAAATACCTAACATTTTCCTTAAGATTCATCTACAGTAGTGAAATCTAGAGTTTCAGTCACTGAATAATAATAGTTAATAACAGGAAGGATAAATAATGTACTCACTTTGATGTACAATCTGCAAAACAGTTTTTTCAAAATACTTTGGAAAATTCTTTAGTCTTTTCAGTGCCTGTTCTTCACTTGCTACAGCTTCTTCATATTTCAGGTTTGTTTTACCAGTGAACTGACAGGTCCAAACTTGAAATCCATACGAAAGGATACGGTTTATGTATTCACTTGATTGTGTAAAAGAAATATACAACATATGCAAAAAGCATATAATACAATTATATAATACTATATAATTTGGATATATCAACAAAGTTGAAATGGTAAATTGGCCACCGTAACGATTACAAAAGCTGACGTTTCGAGCATTAGCCCTTCGTTGGAGCGAATAGAGGAATTGTGGGTTGTGTGTGTTTTTAAAGGCAGAAAATGGAGCTACGTTATTGGTGGAAACATGGCAACGAGAAAAACTAATCTACATATAAGTGAAAAAGCAGCTTTGTTTGTCCAGGTTGGTTCGTCATTCTCTTTCAAAACAGCAAGATAGGTCATTAAAAAACCTGTTAACCCTTCACATCCTAATGTCAAAATGCATCTTGTCCAAACTGGTCTCCATACATTTCCAAAGGTGCTGACAAAGAGAATTTGTTTAACAGTCATGAGGTTCTTAAGTTGGCAATCATTTCCTTTATTCTTGTGACCTAAATAGTTGATTTAGGGCTGATATAATTGCTAGTTCCTCTTTGGGTTAGAGGATTAACCATTGGAAACAACCATGGACTGGGCATCTAAGAAATTCAATTCCATACAGTCAAATACCTCACCACCAATAAAAACTATGCCAGGAGCCTTACTGATACATGAAGTACTGCTCTCCTACAAGGTATTGTATCTTGAAATTGTTAAATCTGAGCGTCAATTACCCTACCCTTGAGGTTTGATCTACAAGTTATCTTTCACTGCATTTACACAAGGTTAGTAGCCGCATGGAAGTCACGACTATCTGCCTGAAGATATCCCGGGGATAGCTCGCAAGAAGTAATTCTGACGCAGTAATATGTATTGATCAGATTGCAACGTGTAAATTCAAGTTTTATGATTCTGGTCAAACATATATACCTAATCACCAAAAGAAATGATTGTTGAATATGCTTAATTATTTTTGGATGTATCCCTAAATGAATAAAGGGTTTAGAAAAAGTTTGGTAGGTTCCACATCACCAGGACAGCCATTAAAATCGACAACAATGTATTCGAGTGATCACCTATCCACCAAAAGAGATAGTCGCGAACGTTCTTCGCGGTCCAAGAGACGTAATTTAAGGATACTCGTAGGACCTAAAGACTTCGTTCGTCTCTCTGATGACAAAAACCTCCTCCTCAGACTTCAGATCATTCGGAAACGGGCTTGGCTTGTAAGATTTCTTCCCCAAGAGCGGCATCTTTCATTCTTTCTGAGCGATCGATGGAGCGCGAAAGTTTGAAATAGGCGGGAAATGAAGTCTTGTGAAGATCGCGGGCTCGTTGAATCGATATTGACAAAGAATGTCAGAATCTGCTGATTTTAGGCCCAAAATATGAGTAAATTTGCACTTCCAAGCTATTCATTTCTCTCAAAGGCCACTAATGGTATCATTGACTTTGCCGTTCCCAGAAAATTCTAAGATTTCTTCCCCAAGAGCGGCATCTTTTATTCTTACTGAACGATCGATCGTACGAGAAAATTTGAAATAGGCGAAATAGGCGGGAAATGAAGTCCTGTGAAGATCGCGGGCTCGTTGAATCGATATTGACAAGAATGTCAGAATTTGCTGATTTTAGGCCCAAAATATTAGTAAATTTGCACTTCTAAGCTATTCATTTCTCGCAAAGGCCACTAATGGTATTATTAACTTTGCCGTTCTCAGACAATTCTGAGTAAGAGTTAAAAGGTGGAAATTGCGTGCGAGTTTACAGAGGTCTGGCACTAGCTAACGGTAATTCGTTTAATTAGCTTTTAGATCAATTTTATTCATTCTAGTTGATGATTGAACTCGTTTTCCCGCTTTTTGACCCGGAGTAAGAAGACTGTTTAGCAGGAAAAGGCGTTTGAGAGGTGAGTTACTCGCTTTAAATTCAAAATCGTGCTATCTGCGAGTTGGTTATGGCGTTTTGTCCTACTGAGTCGGCGCGCGGCCTTTGTTCTTCAGGCTGTGCATCAACAATGCGGCGCGGTAGAAGTTGGATGGCTCACAGACATTTATCTTTCATACTTATCTTTATGTAGAAACTTGATAGACACTGGGCCATAGACATATCACTAGACTTTTATTGGGCTATCCAGTTTGTCTAGTTCTTCAGAATGGAGACTTCTTCGATGGAAAAGGACGAAGTTATGGTCGAAAATCCAGTTGTTGAGTCCGAAAAGCTTAGTGAAATCGTGCCGGTTGAAGTTTCAGAAACTCGTGTTCAGATGCCGGAAATAGAAAAATCACCGATTTCGCGAGTGAACATACTGGATCTTACTAAACTAAACCCCGAAGTTCAGCAGGGCTACCGCGTTTTCATCGAAATGTCGGCAGATTCTTACAAGAACGTAACTTGGCCATTTTTGGAACCTGTGGACACCAAGGCACTTGGCCTGTGGGACTACCATGAAAGAATTAAAGAACCCATGAGCTTCAAGCAAAGTCAGTAGAAGTTTTAATTAATTTATTACATCATTTAGTGTAACAGATTTCAGCCTTTTCACATCTCTGACATTTCGTATTTACCAAGCTGCCCTAAATAACTTTAACATTTCATAACAGACGAAGCGTTCTTTTAAATTCAGATTGGAAAAGCTACCTTTCATTTGACAGAGGAGAAAAGAGATCTTTTTTCTTCATGTTTATGTTTGCACTTTGTTGGTGCCTTGGAGTATCGTCGTTCTAATATTGACTAGAACTCTTTCCCTTTCAAAACCAAAAATTCACATCTCGAGTTAACCTTCATATTGCTTTTAATTTTACATTTTAAGTTCATAGTTGGTATTAAGAGAATTATTTTTAGCAGTCACACGTATTTCGATCTTGAAAAAAAACTCTGCGATACGAGAATCTTTTTTGATAATTTTGTTTTCGTCTCTAAAGGTACATTCGGGTCACTTTATTTCTGCTTTGTTTTCATAAATTTTTATGTCTGAAAAACCAAAAATATAAAACTTTAAATTTATCTGATCAAGGGAATCCCCATAACTATCACATGATTTATTGGCATGATATTCTTTCATTACAGCAAGCTGTGTTATCTAATTAGACCAAGTTTGCCTTGTGTATAAAGAAAGCATGGGTTTAGTGAAATTTAAAATTTGCACACATTTGGTGTTTCTGACATGTGTTCAAAAAAGTTTAGAAATTCTCTCCACCAAACTCCTCTATACTGTTTGGAAACAAAATTTAAAGAATATTTGGATAAGTCAGCAGAAACATAAAATGCTTTCCACTTAAGTTCTCAGTTGACGAGGCAACAGGTAAATTTGGTCAAGAAAAATCAATTAAAATTTTAAAAATATTTTTTTGATCTGAAGTAATTTATCTGGAACACTACTCATCTATCATTTCAACTTGACATTGTTTTAATTTTCTTACTCTTTTGTCGTAGTTGGTGAAAAGTTTAACAAGTATGAATATGAGAGCATCACGGAGGTTATAGCAGACATTCGTCTTATTCTGGAGAACTGTTACCGCTACAATGGATCAGATCACTGGGTTTCCAAACTTGGCCACAAGATGGAGAAGATACTGGAGCAAAAGCTGGCTTTGCTGAACAGGTGATCATGCATAATATTACCATTATTTTTACTAGGTTAGAAGAGTTGATGGCTATTTTAGTCAGACATGAGCAGTAAGGTATCTGTCTTGCTCTGAAGTAAATTTCAAACTCTGACAGCTTATCTGTTCGCTTTAAAAATATCTTGATAACACTGAGTTTATTTGACTGATATACTTACTGCAAATCCAAATTTTCAAACACAGGGCTCTCTTGTATTAATAATGTAAAAAATTTTTATCTTATTTCTGATTTTATAGGCATTTTGAGGTTTGAAGAACAAAATAGAAATTTTGTTTATGATTTTTTAATGACAATTGTAGGTCCCTAAGAGACAAAGTAAGTTTGGAGGCCACCATGGCATTGAGGAGTGACTTTGTTCCAACAGAAGTTTCAGAAGGTAATATTTTATGTCTTGGCAATCCTAGATGAGTGTTGCTACTGTACCTTAAAAGAGGACAGACCTACTTAATTTATGAATTTATAAACAAGCACAAGACGTCACAGTAACACAGAACCAAAATAATAATATTCTGTCACCAATCATTGTGAAGTCCAGTGCAAAAGTGAATGAAAGACATAAGGGTTAAGGTATTTAGTGTCAATACATTGATATCTGTTTATTCTGATTCTTTTAGGGGCTACTGGACGCAGACGAGCAACTCGCATTTCTTATGTCAACATGATAAATGGTGAAGAATCATCCTCTTTGCTCACGCGCTTAAAGATTCAAGAAGATTTAGAGGAACGTGAGAGACGACGATTACGTGAGAAGGAGAAAAAAGAGGCCAATTTGGTTTTGCTTCAAGATTTAGCAGAGTGGGAGGAAAAGGAGCTGGATGCTTATCTGATAAAACAGCTGCATTCGATGTGGGAGGTAATGGTTACAAATTAGAGAGAATTATTAGTGATTGTTTGTCACTATAACGAAGATTTAATTGCACAAGCTCCTTACCAAATATTGAAGTGTTCCAGCATCCATCATGGGCCATCAAATCTTTATTTATAGGAGGTTGTGTTTTATCTATCTGCCAGTCAGTGTTAAAAAAAATGTTTAATTCCTTTTATGAAATCTTCTGATATACCTAGCAGTGCCACATTTGTGCATCTTGGAGAATGGGTTCTAATTGCACCATGCATGTACATCATCCCTTGTTAAGGAGGCTGGAAATAGTTTCTTTGGCATGCGCAGACTGGGTTCTAATTTACCCGGGACTTTTAAAAGTTGCAAAAAAAAAAAACACTAAAATAAATAAACAAACATGGCCGTCGCACTTAGGCCAGAATCATTTTTTCATCTGCCTAGTAGACTATGTTTTATGCCTCTAGGTAGGCTGCCCGCACTTTCTTCTAACTTTATTAGTGGCGTGTTTCAAAAATGGAAAGCTACAACACTCTCAAGTGACCAAAATATCCATGAATCCGGCCGCAGACACAATCGTGATCGTCGGAGCTATTTTCCCATATCGTGGCTGGTTTCCGGACCACTAAATGGGTGCTACCTACATGCAAATATCAGCAGCTACACTTCTCGTGTAAACAAGTCACCGTCAAAACTGTGAATGGTGAGAGAACTTTGCTCAAAGAGAATGTTCCAGTACACTCCTGAGCGAATGTCTTCAATCTTTTACCACTTTCCTTTCCAGCACTATGCATTGTCACACCATTTTAATTGGCCATAATTTTTCTGTGTTCGACACTCCTACACTCCGACGATGTGCTGGAAATTCAAATAAAGAAACATTATCGTCGAAGAAAGTGTTTTTCGTCGATAGCCTTACACTCATCAAAACACTCGCTAAAGGTGTTAATGCTCTTCTCAATCCTAACAGAAAACCATGTAAAAGCAATCTCCCTTCTGTGTATCAAGCTGTTTTTTTATGAAGATTTCAACGCACACAATACTTTGGAAGATGTACGTGCCCTCCACTGTGTCCTCTTTCAATCCCTGTTGCAGCTAACAAGCGCTGACATTGTAAACAACAGCATGTGAAATCTGCCTCCTTCGCTTTCGTAGACATGGACTTTCTTGACGGACGCCATGAACGCATGTAAACTTTCAAAGACAAGCTCTATTCACAGGGCGATAACGGGCTCCTCGTCAAAGAAAACATCATTCAGAAAATTGCAGAAAGCAGTCTGTGTTACGATGACTTAAAAGATCTTTACAACAATGGTTGGAAGGAAGCACTGGTCTACATTCTTAGCAAATCGCCAACCACATCACGTCGATCAGCTCCAAGAGGAACAAAACATCCCGACACTTTGCACAAAATAATCCAGCACTTTGAAGGCAAATAGGGCAGCAGCCATTTCCAGGTGCAATCCACCCAGAAGGTGAACCTCTCTCAGCAAAATAAAGCTCTTTAGAAGAGCGCAAAGGACGTTTGGCGAAGAAGACCGTCCAAAACCTTGTGGCGTCCGTGGCAAGTGTCATGGCTTGACGCAAATGTTGCGCATGTGCAATTGTCTATCTTGTTGAGTCGAAATTTTCGGAAATTTGAAACTTTAGACATACGTATTTCCGTTTCCGCTCGGTGAATTTTTTTGATTTTTGCACGTTAACTTTGAACGGCTTTGTGCGTGTTTTACAAAAATTGGAAAAATCTGTCAGGGGAAAAAGTTAACGATGAATTCTAAAAAAGGCCTCTTTTCCTTATACTTTCTGACAGAATTTTTGTAAACTTAACAGTCAAGTAGACCAAGACAGTCAAAGGATGCATGCAAAATCTAAAATAAATTCACCATCCAGTTTTTAAGAAAATTCAAGTCAAGTCTAATTTTGGACCCAGCATTGCAAGCCAGCAATGTTACCATGGCAACGAATTTTTCAATATATTTACAACAAACTGATTCTTCAATAATATCTTTATTTCAGGGGAAAATGTGATGGCGATTCGTTAAAGCTAAGCTTCATAAATTTAGTTTAAATATCTTGCATCAGAAAAGTGAAAAACCTATATCCAGCCTCCTTAAGCTTCAGTATTGTCATTTTTAATTTGTTATTACCTCCATTTTAGGCATTTTGTATCTCTCAGTGCTAGCATTTTGCAGTTTCATAGGATTTGATGAGAGTTTAAACTTTGTGTGTTGCAAGAAATCACATTTGGCTCCCTTGAAGAAAGTTCCTAATCATCAAGATCAGACGGTTTATCTGCTGGATACATTTATACAACTTTCCCTAATGATTCCATGTTTTTCTTTTCAACAGATTCCTTCAATTGCCAGCTTATTATTTCTACTGAAAGATTTTCTCTGCATTCAAGATCTTAGTGTTACCGAGCTTGAGCTAAGCTTTATTTATGCTAGTAAATCCACATTACTGGCCAGAATATTTACAGCTCTATTGATTACTCCACACCAGCGGAAAAGGTCAGATTTGTCTATCATTTTAGTACATGTTTTTCACAATTCACTGTCTGAATTTGAAACTGTTATGATTTTCTGTTTGGCAAAAGATATTTGATTTCTAGCAGTGGCCTCTTAACTCTTTGACCCCCCAAGATTGACTAGCACCCAATTTCTCCTTATAATGTCTCCCCCCTGAATCACACAGTAAGGTCACAAGAATAAAGAAAGGGATGATCAACTATGGAAACTCTAGATTGTTAAACAGGTTCTCCTTATCAGCACCTGTCTAGAAAACAGTGTGGAGAATATGCATGGTGATGGTAGGGGAGGGAAGGGTTAGCTAAACTTTATTTTAAAAACAACAGAGATCCTTCCACAATACTTCAGGTGCAGATACATCATACACATATACTATCCACTTAACCTGTGAACTTAAAAGGAGTATATTGTGCATAATTATTCACCTGGTTATTCTCTTACATAGACTCCAGGTTTAACCCAAAGAAGTATTTTTTTTCCTGAAACAATATCATTGTTTGTTTTGCCATGTAGACTTGAAATTATGTTATTGATCAGAGTTAAAGACTCCAGTGAGTTACTTAACCCTCATGAAAATTATTGTTCTTAGACTTATTGGATGTTGTCTTAAACAGTATAGTTTCGTAACTGGAAATGTTTTTCTTTTTTATAAATTGACTATCATCAGAACTTTTGTTAAAGCTGAGTGATAATGAGTGAATGCTGCAATCTTATTATCTGAACACATATTTTGATCTCCTTTGTGCAGCTTGTTTAAAAAGCCTCCAATGAAATTCAAATTGTGGGAATCCAAGCTGTGTGACAGACTAAACAGCTGGTACAAAGCAACTGAGAAGGATGGCCAAGTATTGGTAAGCTACTGTCAAACTTTTCATACAACACAGCTTTTTTTGGGATGCCAGCAGTCCTCACTAAGGGGAGTTGTTGGCCAGTGGTTTAGCACGCAAACTGCAGGTGGGGAGATTTTGGTGTTCTTGGAAAAGGCAGTTGACTTTTACTTCCCTCTTACCACCCAAGGGTATAAATACTTGTGGGAAAACCATCGATTTATCATGGAAACTTTACAGTTTTTTTGAGCAGGGGAGGCTACCTGACGTGGACTTGCTTCCTATCCAAGAGAAGCAGTCACATTGCTAGTTTTCCTCTTCAACAGAAACCAAAGACAAACACCAACCCAGATAAGCCACTTGGCACCTAAGAGTTGAACTGTCCCCTTTTTTCCCCACATATCCACTTACCCACACCAGCAAGGCTTTTTTATCCCTCTGCTTTTCAAATCCATATGACTCACTGTTACTGAAAATCCGATTGAGTATCCAGTGTATATAGAGTTTTTTTTTTTTTAATAAATAGACCTATAGTAGGTTTCTATAAGGGCAGTTCATTCTGCCCCAGGACAACTCTTTTACAAAGAGAAAGCTTGTGGTGAAGGAGCCATGGTGCCATAGCAATAACTCTAGCCCCTCCTCAAAACTCCTTTACTCTGTTCCAGGGTCAAACCCAGGTTGAGGGTCCAGTTTGTTGTTGGTTCTTGTCTGCACTCAGAGTGTTTATGTGTATTATTTACTTTTCCTTTTATTACAAAACCATCTTTACAATTTCAAGTCTGACACAATGGATGTGAAGAGCCTATCTTTGGATGTGACAATTTTCAAACCCTGTCTTTAACTGAGACAGACATGTTTCTCTAATATTGACACGATTTCTAATTCAATGTTTGTGCAAAACTCTTTGTTCAGTTTGATTCAATTTATCTATGAATCTGCTTCTTCAGACTTGCCACCAGTGTGGTTTAGATTTGGCCACTTTTCAAATGCTGGGTGAGTATATTTCGTTTGCAGTGAAATGTGTTCTTTGTGCTTACACATTATTTTACAACAATAAACCTATATATTATAATGATTGTCAGCCTCTTTTGTGGATTTTGTTTTTAGGTGATACAAATCCTTTACTTGAAAAGTCATACATGGATCTTACTCTTCATCAGCGCGTGTGGATTCTTAAATGTGTCTGTGACAACAGTTTGGTAAGACTGACATGTTCCCTGAACTAAAAGCATATTCAATACAATTAACTTAAGTTAGCTACAGGGGTAATAAGGTGAACATTTTGGCTGTGTTTATGTCTCTCCTACACCCAAATTAAGTTGTACTTAACATTAAAAGCCTCACTGGTTTAAAAGCTGGCAAAAAGTCAGATGATCTTCCAATTTGAGCATAAATTATTGGCACCTTGATGATTCTTGACTTTTCAATTGTACTACTGTACTATTATGTTCTTGACTGTTTGTTGTACAAACTAAAGTATTGGAATTTGATTATGAAAATAGCTGAATACATTCTGTTGTGATCAAATCAGAGTAACTTAATGTTTTGTTGTCCTGGATTGTAGGTTAGAGACTATGATTTACGGGATTATCTATCATCCATTGCTGCAACTGAGCAAAGAGAAATGTTATTGGGAAATGATGCCGACAACTGGACATACCTCTATTTCCCAGTCTTCGCTGCTTCTGACTTACGCATCTACAAGCAGTGTCCTTTAGAATTTCCATCATTAAACAAAAGAAAGAGAAAGGTAAAATATCCATTTTCACTTCTGTAGACCAGACCCAGTAATGATCAACATGCAACCCCTTTGGGAACAGCCACCCATTACACCTTAGGCAGAGACTTAAGGAAAAAGTTCCCGAAACCCACCTTGAGAGTGACGTAACTCCTCAACAGACGACGTCTTTTCCATTGTAGGTGGCAACACCCCAACCACCTCCCCTTCCGCCAACTACAACTAAGTCCAAGGCAACTCCATCACGATCCGACACACCCACCCGACCCAGGAGAGATACAAGACTTAGACAGGTAGGGAAGGTTCTCAAGTTACCAACATATCTATGCCAGTGTTTAATTGAGTGTTACCGCGTATTTTCATAGGAAGGTACCTTCAAGGTTTTACAGTCCTGAAATCTTCAATAAGTATGTTAAAATTTGCAAACTAGTGTTTAAGAACTGAAAAAAGGGTGGAAAATTAGTTCAAGCATTTTATCAACGTATTTGGAGAATTTTATTTTGTCCTAGACTTGCGACATCTGCAATTCTGCATAGGTCGGTTTATTCAAAAGTTCCATCATAAGTGGCTACAATATTTTGTTCTTCTCTTTTATCTAGCTTCGAAATAAGTCACCATCACCCGAACCGGAAAACGAAAATCCACCATCACCGCCGATTGAAGAAGTACAAGAGCCAAAGAATACAATTGCGGAAGGATTTGAGCTTGCTGCAAGTGACGTCGAGTCCCTTAAAAAGCTCTCTGAGCAATTTGAAGAACCACCCCCTCCCCCCAAGAAACGTGGTAGGAAGCCCAAGCCCCCACCCCCAAGGAAGCGATGCGAGGTTGAGTTGCACCAAACTCTATCAGGTTTGCTTGAAGAACTGGAGAAGTACGAGATGTCTTTCGGCAAGTTGATGAGTAAAGCAAAGATAAAGATCATGAAGGAAAGTCAAGAACCTGAGCCAGTAGATGAACCAGGTACAGAATCTTTTCAGATGCGTGCTTCTTGACAAAAGATTCACTGTTGAGTCTTCTGTTAAGCATGACTGACATAGTGTTTGGGAAACGCCATCATTGGAAGTGTATTTAATCCATATTCTTGATTCGGCCCTGCAGGGCTCGAATTTAATTTTTGGATCACTAACCCTTCGGGTTAGTAGACATCTTTTTTACTAACCAAATTATAAAGTTTGGAATCCAAGCCCACAAGTTACGACATCTCAAATATTGAACATTTTGTTAATAACAACTAGGACAATTAAAAAGTAGCTGAAATTGCATGGTGACCTTAAAAACGTTGACAATTATGCACCTATTTTATTTCCCTCTCGTTTACCATGATTAAAGAACTCTGCATAATTCAATGCCGAACTACCAGAACCTCATGAACAATAATTTTGAAGCGACCTGGCAGATCCAACAAAGTTGTGTCCAAATCCCCCACATTCGACACAAATTTTCATCCAAGGCCTTAGCGCTCAAAATGGCTGTAAAGCTCGATTTGATCTCAAAGACGGCAAGAACAAATTGTTCGAGACAGAAAACAAGCTAATGCAAGTAAATAACACATAAACCGTCCCTAAAACATTATTTATTTGTATAAAGGTTATTTCCATAACATAATTTAAATATATTAGAAAATTTTACCAACCATGTCGGGTTAGTTGGACACATTTTTATTAACCAAACGTTGAAAATTACTAACCATTGGTTAACGGGTTACCGTTAATTTCGAGCCCTGCCCTGTTTTTTTTTTTTTTATGTTAAACAGCAGATGATTTTTATCGTGGACGAACAGTCTATGGTTTAGCTTTATCCTCCGGCTGAAGGTATTCCAACAAGGATTGCTGCTTATGGCGGTGACTGACTTGCCGAAACCTTGACAAAACTTATCGGTAGATGTCAACTGAGGAGTTTGTTTCCAACGAATCTTTTTTGTCGAATTTTGTGTTCGTCACACTTTTTAAGAATCATATCATCCTTGATGGCCCTTGCACATTCTCTGTAAGTTTTTGGGCGAATGTGAATTGGTTGTGTTTTCTTTTCTTTCTGTTTTTACAGTTGGTTGGTTTTTTTACTCTTTAGAAGAGGTAACCCCGGTAGAAGAAGCGGAAGAATGGGGCAGTGAAGAAAGCATTGAAGAGGACATTGAAGACGCTGGTGCTCAGAACATGTCCAGTGACGAAGACTTTGTTCTGGAGGATGAAGAAAACACGAACAGGACAGAGGCAAGTACTGAGCAAGCAACCAATAGTGGTGAAAACAGTGACAACAAAGGTGACGTGGGAACACAAAGTGTGCTTCCGCAAAAGAGAAAAGCTGACGATGCAAATATTGTGGAGGGGAGTGAACAAGCTACTGCTACTAGTACATGTGTTGACGTAGACGATGATTCGTGTTCCATCGCCATCCAAACGGCTCCTCCTAAACTAAAAAAGAAAAAGAAAAAGCATTCTCTTGCTGCAGAGAGTAAAACTACCGCTGTGTGTCAAACAGAGGCTGCTATGGCGTGTCCAACAGGGACTGCTATGGTGTCTCAAACGGGAGCCTTGGGTGTCTCCCAGAAAGGAACTGTTTTAAATAAACGCAATGTCAGTCACATTCCAGCTGGAATGCAAGTTGTTCGAGAAAAGAAAATAGTTACCCTACCAATAAAAGTTGCTACGGCCGGAAATGTAGACATTAAAGTCACTAACACTGTGACGAAAACTGTATCTGCGCCCTCTGTTGGTACAGCGGCGGTACATAAAAACACAAGCTCTGCGCAGACACATCAGAAACTCCCACTAGCCTTCAATTTATCGTCATCTGCTGTAGCACCGCCCGGTTCAGTTGTGGTGGTGCCTTCATCGTGTATCAGTGGTACTGTCTCTAGCACGGTGTCTAAGACGTCTTTATCGGGAACAGTTACTGCTTTACCAGGCTTGGGAAAGGTCATGTTAGTATCGAACTCTGGGGTTCCTTTGCAAGTGTTGAAAGCTGTGCCTGTCAGTCAGATACAAGGGAAAACTATAAACACTTCTGTCCTGAGCGCCCAGAAAAATATCAGGACTATTCCGGTAAGCGTGCCCCCTTCGCGGACAAATTCAGTGGGAATGAGTTCGATCGCATCAACCTCTCCTCAACTTCCAAGCGTGTCCATCCCAAAAGTTTCCATTGCAGATTCGGCTACTACCTCCGGTACACTGACGAATCCAAACAAGGGTAGTCAAGTCAGTACTACAAATACATCATTACACCCCCCTGTTATTCTATTGCAATCCCCGGGGACCGGAGGGGTCGTACCGTTAGGAATGAAGGGAGGGACGATCGTCATGCCTACACCTTCAGCATCGCAAAAAATCGTGGTTGTCACCCCGTCAAGCTCATTAACATCATCTACGACAAGCGAAAAATCGCTGTTATCTGGAAAAGGTATTTCTGTATTGGGAAATACTCAGGTTGCACAGACTACTCTGGGGCAAGAAGTTATTTTACCAGCAGCCACCGAGGCTCTGTCGTCGCTGAAACCAGAGGCTAATACTGCTTCAAACAGTGAGCCTGTGTCCTCAGCGGTTAAAACTCCATCTCAACCTAATGCTTCTTCTTCACCCAGGGATGGTAATTTATTGACAACAATAAACTCGCCAAATGTGACATCGACTACAGCTAAAAATGCTTATTCGAATAAACAAGTTACCACAGAATTTACAACTCCGAATAAAAAGCTAACGAGAGTGGATTCAGACCTCGTCAGTGACATGGTCACACAAACTGTGACGTCAAATTCTAATGTTTCAGCTAAGTTAATGGACACACAGACGTTGCCTTCTGCTTCGCAAGACACTTCTACAGAGTCCACTGCTTCTCAAGTAACAAATTTGGAGCAAAATTCTTCATTTGAGGATAAGTCTTTGCCATCACAGAAAAAGAATTGTCAAACGGAAACCATTGACAGTGGTGATGTTAATGATAAAACTAAAACAGACTTTTTTGAAATGGAGCAGGATTCTAAAAATGGCTCCGATTCCTTAGTTGATCTCACATGTTATGAGACAAGTGTAACTGACTCCACAGAATGTGAGGAGAACAAAGATTCTGCCCCGAATGGGCTTCATCCTGATCTCAAGATATCTCTTCCGACTAAACTCGCAGACACTGATGTTAAACTTTGTAATGGAGTGAACCAATCAACAACTGCCGACTCAAATTCCAAGATGGAAGAACTTGATTTCACAGAACGGAGTCATTTAGTCGTCGAACAAACTCCCAATGGCGTTGTAACGAACCAAACTTTAAAATGATGATTGCAATCTGATGGATGCAACGACATCAATTTCATTTGGCTGATGTGTGACTCACGTGGGCTAAACCCAGCTCCACTGCTTTTTTCTTTCCTTTTTTTTAAACGAAGATCCAAACTCCTTATTTCTAAGGGTTCGTATAAGCGCTTCGTTACAATAACTCTAGTAAATTTTGTGGAACATTTGCTTTTGAAAGAACGAGAGGGTAACGTGTACAATAGAGTAACTTTACAAAAGGGAAACTGGTTTAAAATTTTGTGACCCCGAGAGACTTCTATTTGAGAAAATAAATCACTGGAAGTGTTTTTGAGCCACCGTTTGTTTTTTTTACAGATATTCTTTAGCTTGTCTAGTGTTTTTACCCCTTTATTCCAAATCATTTGTGCTGGACTCCAGTCACTTTTGCAATTTTCTGTTCGTGCTGCAAAACACCATGAGAGAAACCGTTATTCCTTGTTGAGACACACCACACTTATGAGAGACATTTGACCGTAAGGAATCAGATCTTCGAGGGTGATACATTTTTGCCCCAAAGACTGACTGCTGAGAAGGGAAATAAAAGGGAAAAGAAAAACTAGTAACTCCATTTTGATTTAGTCGTTATCGTTGTCGATTTGTTTGCTTGTTCTTTTCTCCAGAAATGGTATGTTTTGCGGCTTTTCTTTTCGCAAGATTTTTAAAATTATCTATATCCTTTAAGCTCTCGCAAAATAAACCTAACAAGTTGTCATGGTGCACGGAGCATTCCCTTGTAACTAAACCATTTGCCGTGCTGAGGGATTAAAAGAAAAAAACATGAGCTATCAATATATTCTAGGCCAGTCGTATCACAGCTATTCACCGTCAGGCGACCAAAAATAACAACTTCTTGAACAATATCACCACTACCGACAAAAAGTCGGTGTAGTCCTTCCCAGGACTACACTTATCCAGACGATCATACTACACTATTATGTCGTGTTGCCCCCGGGTTCAAACCATTCACTAAAAAGCAATAGCTAATGTTAAAAAGATTTAAAATGTATTGTGTTCTTTTTCCCACTCACTGAAAGGCGATAATATTTCGTGATTATGTAAACACTACATCAAAATTTTAAGTCGGGCTTCCATATGGAACGAGGACACAAACATACAAGAGTCTCCCGTTAGCTTGGTCGTGCTGGCTGTTATTCCTTGTAGTGTTCATCGTGGAGTAAACCGCACCGATGGAGATGTGTGAAGAAAGGAAGAACCAGAGCCACACAAGGTGTTTGCGACGATAGCAGGCTAGTTATGTTCACTTCGGCGGGCTTTCATCTGACAAGGGGCGCGATCATACCAAAGTGCTTCAATTTTTTTCAAATTTTTAATTACATTTGTGCAGCTGATGTGCCTGAAACAGCACGTGGGCTAGTATAATGAAGTAAAGGATGCTTCTTTGACACCGTTATGAATTTGCGTGTGGTTTTAACTCGCCACTTATTTTGTGTCGCAAATGCTATGGCGTGACATCTGTCACCGCCCACATCCCGCATGTACCCGCCCTGAACCCGCGCCAACACAATAGGTATGCAGAGACTCTCGGGAAGGAAGTCTAGTATCAACTCCAGCGGGACACGTCGACGTAGTGATTTTCAATGTGCAGAATGAGGAATTAGCCGTGTTCATGTACAAATACACGACTAAGATAGTATTTTAATTACTTTTCAGTTTGTAGATTTAACTCAGTTAGTTTGATTTCTGGTCGTAGTTTTTTGGAATGCGCTGTTCAATTACTCCCATCTTGTTCGGCATATTTCTACAATGGCTCATTTTTCTGCCCTTGTCCCAAGCGATGTCGAACGGGTTTACCACCATAGTGGAGGCAGGAAAAGTGAACTGCTTTTACGAGAATATAGAAGTCAATAGAACCTTGGAAATGGAATATCAGGTGAGTGTTAAGAAGCTTGGGTATACCAGTGCACCTTGCATATTAGTGTTATGTCCAAGCTATCTGAGGGCTTCGGTAAAATATTTACCTTTCGTCAACTAGTTAAACGTACAAACACGTGAGGACTGTTTAAAAGGTAGAATGAATTATCGGCACGTAAGCTTTATTCAAACGTCTTCGTGAAAACTGATCGCTTTGCTCAAACGGAAGGAAACGATGACTTGCTTGCTTCCATGGGAAACTAACAATAATTTATCGTTAATCTGCTCGCTAGGCAACTGGTGGCGTTTCAAAGTATTAAATTTGTATTTCAGCTGGAATTGAGCAAATGATGATTAGTGTTTCTCTTTGATCTGAATGTCGTTAGCACTTCTTCACATTCGAACTTTGCACATGCTGCGTTATTAGTCTTCATGGCTGTAGCAGTGGTACCCTGAATGTCTAAAATGTAAAATTATGCAGTTAAAATCAGCACACTCATAGGCTAGGCAAGGGCTTTTTTTAAAATTTTAGCTTGTATGGTCTCAACCCTAACCCTCACCCTAAACCCAAAATTTCCAAGCCTCTGAGCTAGTCTAAGGTATGGGTTGCACTTGGGCAAAGTTTTCAACTCTTCCAGCAAAAAAAAAAAAAAACAGAAAATTTTAAACCACAACCGGAAAGAAAACTTTTGGTTTCAACTATCAGGGTCCCACTAGGTGAAAAAAATGTCAGTGATGACACTTTGATAAACAGGACACCCGTTTATCGACGTGCTATGGGGAGAGAGCAGTGAGCTGAAAAAGGAAAACAAACGTTAAAAAAATGCGTCCTGTTGAAGCAGTCTTGATAACGATCACGGTGATGCTTATTCTTCTTATTCAGTTAAATCACAAGCACTTTTTTGTCTTTTGTATGATCTATGAAAGATGGGTTAGCACCTGTTTAACTGTTTTGACTGCCGTTATGAAGAGAGCGAGAAATCAACGTCAGTGACGATTACTTCGAGCGCCATATGCCTGGTCAGTTTTGCGACCAGTCGAGTCGTTTGCTGTTTACTGACAAGTGATGACAGTTACCGCTGTGATAGCTATTGTTTAGCCCGAGTTTTCCAAAATCTACCTGCCCCACCCAAGCACTATGACGTCTTTGATGTTTTGGCCGGTTTTCAAAGTTTTTGCGAACTGGAAAAGTTAGGGTCCCATTAGGCAATGTGCCCCGATGACAGATTTTTACACCAAAGTGACCACATTCACACCAAACTTTGCCAAGTGCGACCCATGCCTAACTTGTTCAGCAATGATCACAGGGGGCCCACACAAGCGGCATGTCTGGTCATTTGTTTGAAATATAAAGAAATGTATGGGAGAATATTGAAGAGTTGTAATATCGTAGACTTATATAGAGGAATGTCTATCTTAAGGTTCAAAATAAATGTAAACCTACCTCACTTGCCGTGTATTGTCGTTTCTGTGGTTCTAAATGGCGAATTTGAGCGATTTGGTAGATTTTGCGTTGACTGTGACTTTACTGTATAAGAAGGAGACAAGGGTGGAAAGCTCATTTTTAACCGCTCCGCTTTCGAAGCCGATTTTCACCCAGAAATTAGAATCACCTGGCTTCCAAACCGAACACCAGATAAACCTAAAGGCTGACGCTTCTTGTGTCATTCAATCGAAGATCCATTCAAAATCCAAGCGCTAACCACCAAAAAACTTTCGAGCAATGCAGCTTTCCAAGTGATCAGCATCCGCGGCACAGATTTGGTGTGCCAGGGAGCAACCGTCATGCTGTTTGCTCCACGCTGATTGGATGATGGTAAACAATGCCCTGTTTCAAATGCCTCATGTGAGAGGGGAGTCAGGGGCATCTTTGCACCCGCTATTCATCTACTGACTAGCCTGGTGTGAGGTTTATGGCGCGTGACGGAAACCCTACACGACCTCAAACCTCTTTGTTCGCTTAACCCAATGAGCTCTTGGAGGATACTTGTGATTATTTTCAAATAACGGATTGAGCTGAAGGGTAAAGAGAAGGAAGGGTTGAACTAGCGACGTTTTCTGGGTTAAGAAAAATGACAATTGAAGGTTACAAAATATCACAGGGTAAATTAACTTTCTCCAAGACGGGTTATGCGAGCAAAGAGGTTTGAGGTTGTGTACGGTTTCCGTCATGGGCCATAAACCTCGCACCAGGCTAGTCAGTAGATGAATCGCCGGCGCGAATATGCCCCTGACTCCCCTCTCACATAAGGCATTTGAAACAGGGCATTGTTTACCATCATCCAATCAGCGTGGAGCAAACAGCGTGACGGTTGCTCCCTGGCACACCAAATGTGTGCCGTGGATGCTGATCACTTGGAAAGCTGCATTGCTCGAAAGTTTTTTGGCAGTTAGCACTTGGATTTTGAATGGATCTTCGATTGAATGACACGAGAAGAAACGTCAACCATTTGGTTTATCTGGTGTTCGATTTGGAAGCAGGGTGATTCTTATTTCTGGGTGAAAATCGGCTTCGAAAGTGGAGTGGTTGAAAATGAGCTTTCCACCCTTGTCTCCTTCTTATACAGAAGAGTAACAGTCAATGCAAAATCTACCAAATCATTCAAATTTGCCATTTAGAACCACAGAAACGACATTACATGACAAGTGAGGAAGGTTTACATTTATTTTGAGCCTTAACATAGACATTCCTCGATATAAGTTTACGATATTACGACTCTTCAATATTCTCCCATACATTTCTTTATATTTCGAACAAACAACCAGACACGCTGCTTGTGTGGGCCCCCTCTGCAATGATGCTGACAAAACTGGATTCAATAGTGTGACAGCCCCTCTTTCAGCCAATAATTAGCACTGATTTCCTCAAAGCATACTGATCACACTAAATTATTACCATTCTTTCAACTTTTTTGGGCTTACATGAAAACCAACTCATTTCTTGTTTTTTTTTTCTTCTTATAATTACACAGGTGGTTGAAGGAGGGGGAGAATTGGACATTACCTTTCAAATGATTTCTCCTAGTGGAGCACTGCTAGTGGATGACCAAAAGAAAACAGATGACTTACATACTGTCCAAGCAGATGAGAAAGGAGTATATGCTTTCTGTTTTGATAATTCATTCAGTACATTGGCAGAGAAAACTGTCTTTGCAGACCTAGGACTTGAACATTACGATGTAGACAACTGGCTATCAGAGTTGGATGAAGATAGCAGTATAGAAGGGCAGCAGTTACAAGTTGATAGCTTACGGGTATTGCTATTAAACATATGAGGTTACTTTACACAGGAACATGTGCCTCATAAACTATGTATCATGAGGCCAACTATTCAGTTAAAATGATCCAGAATCTCCATGTAGTTTGCAAAACCCTTAAGGCAAATTCTGGACATAAAAACCAGTCAAACGTCTAAATATTATCCTTGTTCGTTTTGCATTCAATTTCATTAAATGTGGGGTGAGAACTTTAAATGGACCAGCCCTCTGTCTCTTAACAGTTCTAGTGCTAATTGTTTCTTACTACAGAGTGCAGGATAGGCTCTGACAGCTAAGCAAGTCACTCTTGTATGCAGACTTAACCTTTCTTTGAGAAACTGAGCTAGAGTGGATAATCAATGTTTCAGTGTTGGAAAACTTATGTAAGTTGTAGATCAAAGTTAATTTCTAGTCCGAATGATTTCAAACAAGTCAGGCATATTGTCTCCCTAGTTCTACATTACCAAATCCATTAAACTATGAAAGGTTTAAATCAGAACCAGTGAAAAAAGTATTTTTAACTAAAACCTACTTACTTCATGGCCCATGTCAATTAATCTTTGTATACTTTCATTGACAGACTACACTTGAGAATATTAAAATGCTGTTGGAGAAAGCTCAGGGTTACCAGACGTACCTGACAAAGAAGAACTTAAAGAGTCATTTTCTTGTAACTAGGAGTGGAAGTAGGGTGTTTTGGTGGTCTCTTATACAAAGCATTACCCTTGTTGGAGTGGCTATATGTCAAGTGTTAATAGTGAAGAATTTCTTTGGTACTAACAATACTGGTCAAAGGATTTGAACAGTTTTTTTCTAGTGATAACCTCTCTGCACTAGCAGTTTCTTTGGAAGTGAAACCTTGATTGTTATGTCTATTTACTGTTTCCTCATTTGGTTTTACAAACTTTTGCTATTAAGTTAGCTGATGACAGAAAAATGCAGCTTTCTAAAATCAATTTTGTAATAATATTGAGAGAGTTTTATATAGATGTCAGCAAAAAATATATTTTCACAACCAAGTAATGCAAGAGTTTCACCACCCAACTTGGTGGTGGTGATGCCTTCACTGTCACTTTTAAAATTGAAATTCCTGTGTCTTGGAACTTACCAAAAGGCTCATGGCTTCTATAGACAGGACTGTGAAAATTCCTGTGATCAGGTGTGGTTTGTTTTCTCTTGAACAGACTGTGAGGGAAGCTAAGAGTGTCTAGGTTAGTCCTACAGATAATGATAATGTAATCTGACAGTCACCTAGTCAGTTACTTTGTAAATGTTGCATACTGAGGGAAATGTTTTCCTGTTAAGGAGATTATGTAGCAAAATTGTCATGAACACAGATTAACTTGGTATTGTTCTTTCCGTTACCTGTATTTAAAATATTTCTTTTAAAATAAAATTGACTTTAACCTCAGAGATTGTCATGAAGTAAAACAGCCCTTTATGAATAAAAAGTGTTGTGTTGATAGATATGGCTCATGGAAAACCTTGAGGAAATCAAGAAATTCCATTTTATCATTTTCTAGTTGTGGAAATCCAGAAATTTGATTATGGGATCATGGAGAATTACCAAAGATGATAGTTTTAAGATTGGCCAGGGGAAAATACATTCAATCAATTAATCAATCAACTTTATTTAATGAGGGTAACACGGGACCGTGCTTCAACTGAGTAACTAGTGGCCCTCATTCATTGCATGATTTTAAATTTCCCTTTTTTTCTTGGAAGGTTATGGAGAACATTAAAAAAATAACAAAGAAAATATCATAGAAAGTCATAGAATTTTATAAGTTTGTAAGAGTCCTAACCCAAACCTGGTTACCATAATGGCATTTTCACTGTTTGTTCACGGTCTGTTGATGCCTCTCTTGATAGAGGAGACACTCTGGTATTTCATTGATAGTTTCACATACTGTATTCCCTTCAATAAGCACCCAAGGGCTTATTTGAAATTTTGGCTTAAAGGATGAGTACCTCAGAGTGGAAAGAGGGCACTAAATCAAGGGGGGGTGCTTGTGAAATCAGTGCAGCAATAGGACAAAAAAAAGAAAAGAATGCACAAAAAAACTCTGCATGCAAAGAAAATCTTTTCCTGTGCTGATTCCACTGCAGTTAAGTGGCAACATAAGATTTCCAAATGTATCACTACAATTCAAGGAAGTGCAGGAGAAGGGTCACTTATTCAAGAGGGTTGCTTGTTTGACAATGACTAAGGGGTAGATGCTTATTCGAGTAATTCCGGCCTAATTGATTATGGTACATGTACACAAAACTGTTTAAGACCTTGAGCTTTTCTTTATTGACAGTACTGAAGCATATCTGCCCACTGTCCTACATACAATAATGCTCTACAAGCTTTGAATCTGAGATACAATAGTTCACTAAAGAAATGATCTTATTTACAAGTTGTACATTAACCATATATTATTATTAAACATTATTATCAATTTCCACACCATCTTTTGACTGATCCTATTATTGGTAACATGATCAGTCCCAAAAATGAGAGCAAGTTTTACATGACATCAGCACAATGTTATGTCAGCACTTGAAAGAAATATACCTCTAGTGTAACAAAATAAATACTAGCTACAAATTTAAATTAGTGGTGAATCTATGGTACAAACTTTTGACTATCGATTATATTTTGTGTAAAGTGATGGTTAATGCTGCTAAGCTGGCTAATGGTTCTATATACAATAACTTAGGGATGTTGTTGTTGACAAGGTCATTATGTGATGGTAAAAAATGAGGCTAAAGCATTAATTACCAATCATGCAATTAAAGGACCGAGTGATTCCAGTTAACAAATCAAAATGTGCAATAAATGCTCAGAGTAAAAGAAAAGACTTTTGAAAATTTTCATGCAACTAGGAGTTATGTTTATACACTTGTTATGCAGAGAAACACTTTCTCTGATAAGGGGATCTATTATTAACTTAATTTTACCACAAGAACCACGTGACTACAATAAGAAGTGTAATGCAAACTTTGAGTTTACAGATGAGGAACAAAGACACGACACCAAATTCTATGCACAACAACTCATTCTCCAATTCATCTCCCATTCAAGTCTTGTTAATTAAAAGAAATCACCTACAATTTAAATTAGTTGTGGCATTACCAATAAAAGTTTATAAATATACAGGTATAGATACTAAATGCAATATAAACACACAGATATAACATTATGATAATAAAAGGTATAAGTGCATATACAAAGCATGCAATTATTGCTTGAACAATTTTTGACATTATGACTGCAGACCACAGTTATAAAACAAATAATCTAAGAAATAATTTGAAATGTTTAGAGAAAATGAAATATTTAATATTAATACCTCAAAAGATATGCGACTGTAGGTAAAAGCATTGATAGCATTGCAGGGTTGTCTTATGACAGAATTTTGTGTCCCAGGGTGATAAATACTTTTTAACCTTTATCAGTAAGTCAACTTGGAACAAATATATTTGTGCCCTTAATTAAGGGTCATCTCCAACACATTTTGCAGATCTTAAGATAAAAAGCTCTGTATTGATCTTCGTATTCCTGAACAGAAAACCCTGTAAAGCGTTTTTTGAAGTGTTGCTGCTTCAATTCAAAATGCTTTTGATTAAAAAAAAAACCTCTACATGCATTTTCACCTTACTTAAGAATGCTTTTACATTTCAATATAGAGAAGACTTAAAGAAATTTATGGTCTCTGTATGGTAATTAACAAATTATTTTTTCAATAAGTCCTAGCTAAATCTACGATAAATCAAAATCCCACATTGATATGTTGTGGTTGCAAGCTGTAGTATTGTGACACTATGGGTAATGAGATGTCAAAATCCTGCCCATCACCATTAACAAAGTACTGCCCAGAATTTTCTATTTCTACTGTGGTCGTGATGGGATCACACCCATGAATACCATTGATTGGTGTAGACATTGGCAAGGTTGTACAAGTGCTGAGTGCTGGGTCAAGTGGAAGCTCTGTGCTTTGAGAGATGATGTCATCCCAATCGAGTACTTCATTTTGTTGAATTTCTTGAATCAAATCATTACCGAATAGTTCCTTGGCTGCATCTGCTGCTGCCATATCTTCACAATTTTCTGATTGAATCAGCTCTGGAGAATTTTCTAAGTCCTCACTTGAGATGGATAACTCTTCTAGGATAAACATATGAAATTAAATTGAGAAAGATTTATCTTAGCAAAGTGACTAATTCTAATCAATAAAACTTACCAGGAGGGAATCAGTCACAGTCGCTACACTTCTCACCAAAGGCACACTTACTTGCTAATAATCATGCAGAGCATTTCTCTACATACCTACATATACTTTATTTAATCTCGAATTTGGAGTAGCTAAAGGATAAGCTAGTATCTTCAAGTTACAAGGGGTGTGGACAAAACCTGGCCTAGGCCATGGCCTACCAGTGGTCAGATTTTTAAGAACATAAAAATAAAATCAGTAAGAGTTGAACGAATACACTGGTGTACAATTATCTGTCTATAAAAATTGTATACTAGGAGGTCGCTAACACGATTTTCAACGTCCGAGAGAACAAAACACTGCAAATGTCACAGCACTCAACCATAATGGTAGGTTAAGAGGGAGGGCAGAGGAGGGGCCAATATTGCGTGGTCGCGAGGATATACAAAATGGCGGCTTTATGATGCAGGCTGTCAGTTGGTAACATAGTGGAGTGCTGGTGTAAAAATGTAATAAACGGTATTATATTGGAGAGCATACATATCCAGGTAAGAAAGCGCAAACATTACGTACCAGGCCAATTTTTTAAGTGCCCTCAAGTGCTGTAGAGTATTGAATTTGCAACAAGCACCCTGGGACACGCACGCATCGCCATTGTAAACATTTTGCAAACTTTACTTGCTTCTCCAAAGAAAGGGCCAGTATTGCACTAATTTGAAAGGAGAGCTGCTATGATGATGTTTGCCCAAAAGTTGCGTTTAACCAGCTTCTGTTAAATGCTTCCTCGATTTCCTTATTCTATCAGGTTAAGAAATTTTGATCGGAATGTGGCCACCAAAACAGCAGAAGAAAGTCGTTGGTAAGACAGTACTCAGGAAAACGTTGAAAGGTTTCCAGCAATGCTATCCTTTTAAAAATCTGAGCACCGGTAGGCCATAGGGTAGGCCACAGGGTAGGCCATGGCCTAGGCCAGGTTTTGTCCACACCCAGTTACAAGTATAGTTCTAAATACTACTAAAATGTAAAATTGTAACATTCTAAAATTTAACTTTGAGAAAGAGTTACACTGTAGAATCTTGCGCTTGAAATCACAAAAGTCAGATGTTCTAAAAGAGTCCAGAAGAGAGTTCCATAGTTTTGAAGCCATATAACTCAACTCTGCAGTTATTTACTTAGCAAGCCAATATTACATAAGCTTGAGAAGAATTTTTTTAGAGTAATTTCTTACTCTAGAACATTTTTGTTTCATTTCTTCCAAAGTACAATTTAAGAGTCAAACATTCACTTAAAGGTCATGGGAATTTAGGAAATGATCTTTAAGTCAAGATACTACTGACCATTAGGCAAATTTTCCTTTCCAGATCTATAGAATATGTTTAAACAACAGTAGCCTACATGCATTCCTGCACTACTTATGGCTCTTTAAAAAGTACACAATACAGCCAGCTGTGCAGGCTTTCAGGAAAGTAGAGAGATAATGCATATCATTGTTAGGGTGTCAAGGAAAAGAGAAAACAATGCTAAGTCCTCACATACCTGGATTTGCCATGCTTGCTCTTATAGCTTCAGCATGTTTTTTCTTCCATTTTCTTATTTCCTTATCCATTTGTTCACGTCTCTCTGGTTTTAAGGACCACAGGCATCCTTTTCTCTGAGAGGCACCTTGAGGCCTTTCCAGCTTACAAAAGGCCTTGTTCAATGAGAGGTTGTGTCGAACAGAATTCTGAAAAGAAGTGGCAACTTGTGTTAGAAAAGGCCCTGCATAACATTTTTATTGAGAATTGAAAATAAATCTGAGAGGCATTTAGAGTAGAGCTTTGATTACTAATAATGGATTCATGGTTTTTAATTTAAAACCCCACAGTACTGTGAAGAATAATAATATCTGGTCTCAGACAGGCAGGTCTTGTTCACTGAAAAAAATTTGTAGAACCTTCTTCAAAACACGGCTTAGATGAATGAAGTACATGTACTTATGGTATAATGCTTCGGATGGAATTCTTATCATAATTCAGTTTTAAAGTACTTGTGAGAATCTTGATATTTTGTGGTGAAACCTTTCCCAAGAATGTCAAAAGTTTTGGTCTGAATTGCATTGATGTGCTTATTACATGGTTTCTCACACACATAGTAATTGTAATGTGTTATACTCAACACTCAGATAAAATAGAACCTTACATAGAATATTAGTGACAGTGTTTTGTTAATTAGTAGTCATAAGCACCTACAAAGCACTTCCAATGCTTTCTCAAACATCAGAATTACTTGCTCTAATTGAGCTGACATTATTGCAGATCATCAGTTAGCCCCTAGAGATTCTTATCTTGTGTAGTATTTGATGCAATTTTTATAAGTTAATGAAACCAAAAGAAATTCAAGAAATAAATCAATAATAGTGTGCATTTTGAACCACACTGGAAAACGCTTTGTCTTTGAGAGGACGTAATTTTCCAATGTTATCTCTTATTTGCATTTATTTACTTTGTATGAATGTTAGACTGTGGTTAAGTAACTATTGCACTGGTTTGAAAAGTTGCAAACAGGTGAAAAGTAGATGGAACAAATATTTAATCTAGCATACGTATTTGCACTCTGATTTCAACATTAAATGGAAAGTATCACATGGAAAAAGCTAGTTTAATTCCCTAAAACTGCCCCATGCAAGAACAAAATTATTCACAAACTGTGAATTCTGGTAAATTCATTGGGTGTATTATACATCAAGGAATCCTTGTAGAAATATTTTCTTAATTAAAAATTTTTCTGATAACTTGTCCATTCACACTGAAACCCTTCTCAATGGTAGTTTAGAATGCAAGAGAGATCTATATCAAAATATTTCTTCAGTTAAGGAAAATTGAGATCTTAAATTGTAAAATAGAGCAGAAAACCTTTCCTCTCCTCAAATCACTGCAAATTGAGGTGCGGTTCAAGAAAATCATACATCATTAATAGGTCACTAAGGGAAGATTAACTTTCTCTGTACAAAAAAATCTAAGTGTCATTTTTTAATTTTCACGACATAGGAAGGAATAACTTATCATCATTTACTGCTTGCAAATTAATTTGAAGAATTTGTCAACTCAACATGGTATTACAAAAACTCATATGCATACAGGTTGAACAAATTCAAGTCGGAAACTCTCGTTCCAGATAGGAACCAAAATTCGAAACATTGAAGCAAAAAATTTTCAAACAAGAATATTTGACCGCTCATATTATTTTACCAGCACGAAATTATGTCATCGACGTTTACGGGAATGAAAACTGGATTCATTTTCAAGCATGATAATTTGCACAAACCTGAATATCACGTAATAGTTAAGTAAACGATATTTTTCTTTTTTATGTCATATTTTTGCAAGACATCCGAAAATAAATTAGACTGAAACAAATAATCTACTGCGAGCGAGATAAAAACACTGCAATTAACTCCTCGAAAGGATGAATTTGTATTGGGTAGTGTTTCACAAACCAAATTTCCCACTGGGTACAATTTTGACATTTTCACCAATTACGTAAAAAAATCTTTTTGTAAAGATGAACAAAAAATTATGTCATTTTCTCAAGACTATTTAAAACAAGGCAAAGATTAGAAAAAAGACTAAGACAAAAGTGTCGCTATCATGACAAAATAGACGTGGAATATTTATTTAAATTTCTGGGCATCGATTTTTACGTGCAAGTTACGACAAGTGAATATAAGTTTTAAATGAGCTCAAGTTATACACAATGAACTTTCAGTGAATCTTAAAATTTTTATCTTTTGGCTGAAGGGTCGGAAAAAAGGAAGGAAAAAGGAAATTGCGAAGTACTGTTGCTGCACTGCGAACCTTAATTAGAATGAACATAAATTATTCACAGTTGCAACCACCTGTTGGAGGGGAAGTTTCAAGAAGAAATATTATATGAAAAATTATCGTCTAAAATAATTTTCTTCAGGCTAAGATTCTACGTCGTTCGCGATAGGACCCGTTAAGCTTGCATTCTGCTAGTTTTGCGAATGATTCACCACGGTTAAACGAAATATACGGCGATAATTTATTTCAAAATGAATTCAGTTGCGATATTTCGGGTGGAGTTCAGTATTCATATCCTCAATCTCGCGCGCTCATGCCGAAAAGAGCTTAATTTCACGGATTCCGTCTCTACTTCATCGTAACATAGACTAGCATCGCAACGAATAGTCCGAGAGATGAAAAGAATTAAATGGCCAATTGTTATCTGACCACCCATAAATAAAATTATAGCCCCACCCTTTGTATCGCAATATTCACATTTCAGTAATGGCTGAATCTCGCAAATTCGCGGGATCCGTAAACACTGTATTTAACATTAAAATATCTTGATTCAACTGCGCGTTATATCGTTCATCTACTGCAAAACCTAGGTGCACTTTTGGCGAAATAATATTTTTACACAAGCTGATAAAATTCACGGTATGATTTTAAGAGGATGGAGCGCGATGAAGTTTCATTTTGAATACATTTTGACATGCCCTTTTGGTCGACAGTTTCGACAGCAATTCACTACTTCGCATTGATTCACTAGTGTCAGAATTTCACCCATAAATAGAACTTCGATCGAGCAAACCCTGCGTTGACCACAATCCTCAGCTGCAACACTTCCTAGTCGAACAACATTCAGTCCATTGTGTTACATCCGACTCAATAAACACTAGCATTACTCGTGTCATGAAAGCGAATGAAATGCAATGAAAATACCATACCGCTGTCAAAATTTTCAATCTTCGTAAAATATTTCCATTTTGTAGAAGAAAATATTCAAGAATCGAAGTTTAATTCCCAAAATAATCGACAACTATATGATATTTTGAACATGACTTCAACTGCTGTCAGCTGTTCGGAACCCATTGTAATGCAGCAAAGAAAACCATTCAAGTGCCAAATTTCAGGAAACCGTTGAGATAACAACAGAAAAGTTTTGCAGAAGTTTGGTCAGAGCTTCCCAAGATCTTATCTAACGTTACAAATATGACAAGCCTGGCAAATTTTGAGAGAGAATTTCCCAGAAGAAAAGCGAGTGTAGCTTTGCAACGCGAACCGTTACAACCTCCATGTTTTTAAATTCAAAATTCGCAGGTACCGGCCATGCGAAGAATAAATTTGATAAAAACATTAACACTCACCTTCCATCCATCCGGAGCGGTCTTGAAATATGGAAACTTTCCCCTGTAGAAAGCAAAACAAATAAGATTTCAAAAGTCGTTGCGGATATTAGTCTAATAAAATTGCCATGGTCCATTTCAGGCGCCAAATGAAACTTACATCATGAACTTGTAGATTTCACTGACTGGGAGTGTGCCTGAATCACTGTTCTTCAAGGCCATAGCGATTAAACACGAATATGAAAACAGAGGCTTCGGGTAGGCTTTATCCTGCGACTTTAAGCTATCTTTTAAGCCATTTTTTGCATTGTGCTGGTGGATTTTGGGCTTCGAATCTGTCGCACGTGCCTGCAAAATCTGAGGAGGTGGAACAGCAGTAACGTTGACTTGAGTGTGTACTTGGGACATGGAAACTTGTTGCTGATTCGGCCACTGTACAGGTAACGCAGTATTAGGATCAACCATAACTTGTTTCTCGCTTGCCGAGCCTTTTTCCATGGGTATACTAACGCTTTGCAGCCACTGCAAGTTCGTTAAATCGGCTGCGGGATGGCATTCTGTTCTGGGCCTCTCATGCTTTACTGTTAACTGCTGTAAATCTTGAAAAATACCCTGCTCGTGCAGTTGAAACAACGGATCGTTCAAATTAAAATCCATTTCCCGGCTATCGCACTCCACCATTTCTTGCAGCGAGAGCGAATCGGGAGTATCGTAGTACGCTTGTTGAAAGCTGTTCATCATTTTGGAATAACTGTTTCAAAAATTTTCTCGAGCGAATGATGAGAACAGAACTTTACTTCGATGTGAATCAGTTACTGGCTGTTCGATCGAACGAACCAGACAGTCGCTGATTGGCTAAACACAAGCGGTCTTCTCAGTGATTGGTTGTCACGAAAAACAACCCCCTGAGGTCTGATCCATATAAGGCCAAGTTACTACTTTCGGTTCTTACAAATTCTTTCGGTATGATCTGTTCAACCACCAGTTAATTCTCGAAAGAACACCCCCACAAATGTGTTAAAATACAACTGTTACATGGTCAGATAGCTTGATCAGTAACTTGCAATTGTCAGTTAACATTTCACGCATAATTCAGTGTTTATTTTTGCTGGTTAAGTGAAGTACAATTGACGGAAATCCGTGCTTACTCGAGCGAATCAACATTTCTTGTTATCTTGCGGTTGGAATGTTGACAGCCGACCCCACCCCAAGTTTTCTTTCGCGCCGAAGTGATTTGCATAAGAATAAATTAGTATACGTTAAGACAATTATCAAATTTAAAGGAATCGTCATCCGCCTCTGCTGAAGCAATGATTCAAATACCCTGTCTTGTGTGTCTTCAATGTTTACCATAGAAACAAAAAAGCCGGCAAATATGGAATATTTTCGAGAAAAATTCGAAACGTCGCGCGCGCGTTCCCTAACTAAGTGATTAAACCTTAGTAAAGAGGATTAGTTAGCGAAATTCTGCTCCAGGGATTTCAGGAAAAACAATGCTTTGAAAAACGGTCTTCGTAATGCTAAAAATGAGGCAGTCCTATGGGTTTTTTCACAATTTCGAATATTCTTGATGTAAAAAGATGTTTACCGGTCGATTTTGTCCATTAGACATAATTCTTATTGCCTCGACGGAAGACACTTCACTACCTGTGTGCAGAAAAGAAAGGTCGCAAAGAAAAAAACAAAACAAAAAAAAAACGCCGTGATGTTTGCACGTTAAGCGCTCTTCTTTTTGCCACACTCGCAGTATGAATCTCGCGGCTGAACAAAGCGAAAAAAACAACAGTCGCGGCACCATGATGTTTTTCAATAGAATCTTGTCCTTTCTACGTGCGCGTGCCACCGAATGAAAACTCGCAATGAGGGGTCCTACTTCAAAGCCAAGTTTAATCCCGATAAATGTGTTCGAATGTTTCAATACAAAAGCGACTTTTCAATAGCACAAGCGACGATTACTCATGTTGTAAACCAGTTTGAAACCAGCAGATATCTCATTCGTTTTTGCCAGCATCTTTTAATTCTTTCACGGATTACTTTGCCAAAACTCATACAAATAAGCTGGCAAATTATCAAGTTTTTTGTTTGATTCTTTCAATTCTCTCTACTTGATATGTTTTGGTTATTTTATTTTTCTCATCTTTCGAGCCAAAATAAGAAAATGCAACAGGTGCTTTTCGATCTCTTGATAGATCCATATTTGAATAATCAGTAAACCGAACACCGATAAAACGCTGACAAATTCCTCCTTTTTATTTTTATTTTTTTTTTAGCCCTTGAGACCAATCGTGTTTTTTTTTTTTCACGGAGCGGAGGAAAAGTGATTTTCTTTGCAATTTCCCAAGCCGCATCACGAAATCATCGTAAATTTAGATAATTTCTTTTAAAAAACATCTCGTGAGGTATGCAAATTAATATAATCTTGGAGTTAGTTCTAAATAAAAAAAACTTAAACAACCGGTAAAATTGTGAAAACTTTACTGAATTGTGGCCAGAAAGGGAGATGCCCATTGATTTAAAGGCAAGCCAGAGGAGGGAATAGGGCTCATGCCGGAGTATTTTAGATTTCATGAGATTTTCGTTTTAATTCAGCTTATTCAAATGTTTTTTCACGCATCAATTTTTTACTCCTTTCTGACCTTTTTCGGGTGGACAGCTATCGAAATGGTAGTTTCTCACAAGAGTTGAAGCCGATTTATAAAGCTCAGGTTTGGAAGGTGCATTCGATAATAGTTATCTTACACAGCACTTTTTAGCGACATATTTTTTTCTATTTTTGATCGAAGACAAACATTTTTATGTACTCGTGTCGATAATAGAAATTTTTAACATACCTTCATGACTTTAACCGCAAAATTGCTATAAATGAGTCTACATGAATCTACTTATGGAAAACGTCGCGATTAAAAGAAACTTGAAACCTCTACGAGCAGAATAATCAGCCGATGTGCAAACAGATGATACACTAATTTAAAAAGCTGTTTTGTGGTAGTGCCACAAATGGAATCGCAGCGGCATAGAATTGTCTACCTATATGTAATACAGATCTCTACCCAGCAGGACCAGTTACGAATTATAGAGCTGTTGATCGGTACCTGTTGAATACTGAAGAATAATTCATCACCGAACTCCATTCAACAGGTGACAAACAGGTGTCAGTTGCACGAACATAAGCTGGCTTTTTATCATTCCTATTATTTTAATCGAATTTTAGATTCGTGGAACAACTTCGGTACCAATAAAAAGAAAGTTTTAAAAGTTCTTAATTCACAGCTGAACTGGTCGAGTTTGGTTCAAAAAACATATCATTAGTAAGATAAAGTGATGCACATGATATTACCAGATTACATCTTTCGTGCACTTTTGTCCGGATATTACAAGCCGGCAATAAATTTTTAACTCAACTTGACAGATATAAGAACAAAGTCCAACTTAATACCTTGTAAAACCAGTCAGGAATTATGAACGGCCATAAAACCCCTTTTGAAAAATTGCTAATGTCCTGAGTTAATGAAGTGAATTATGGGAGAAAAAATTATGATGCTTCAAGTTTGACAGAAGAATAGGACATGTTTCTTTTTTTTACTGCGCGCGTTTTATGCAAAAATTACAATCATGAATCATTGATCTAAACGGAAAATCTCGTGAAAGGACGACCCACTTATCACCTTGCGGCCAAATCCTACTTTTACGCACAAAAATGAGCCTCGCTACGAACTGCTGAATTGACACAGTCTTGAGAGCGGCCAGCTCCTGCTATAGACATTGCCAACCGACAGTTTGAAGCTTAAACTTAATCCTCTCTTGAGACTACTCTGTCTCCTCGGCTGGCTCGTCTCCTCATAAGAAACACTCTTCTGATTGGCTGATTGGCTACCTGAGCGGGGCAATATGGCCTTTAGGCCCATCCATCCTGTCCGCTCGGGACTGCCCGCTTTGATCCCGCTTTGATCCCTGCGTCACTTGGTCTACTAGCCTACCAATTTACCTCAAGGACATGATCGAAAGAGTTCAGAAAAGAGCTCTGCGTATATTATTTCCGGCGCTGAGCTACAAAGACGCCATTGTGGCTGGAAACTCCACTCGCCTAAATGTGAGAAGAGACGAACTCTGCAAGAAAGTTTGGGGCGGTATCTGTGTGCCTGGGTCACGGCTGTACCACCTTATTCCACCAAAGCGCGCCGATTGCCACGTTTATGAGTTGCGCAACAAAAACCATGTATCACTCTTTAAATGCCGGACCGAAAGATTTAAAAAATCTTTCTTTCCAACAATGGCGTCTAACGCCCAGTTCTTGTAGTCAAGCAAACCTAAGCGTTTTTCATTGGTATGTAACTGCCGATTCTTGTAATTCCCAGTCCCTTTAGACTCTTAATTTTAAAGTCAAATGTAAGATTTTCGTATTTTTTAAATATTTAAAGTATACTTGTAAATTCACATGTATTTCACCACTTGGGTGCCATTTTTGAATACTTTTTAATAAACCTTCTATCATCATCATCATCAAGTAAATAATGGCGTGGAGCGGTCCTAATGTTTGTAATTTTGGACAATGTCGGCGGCGATGGAGTCACAAAAAGCGGCAAAAGACAGTCAAAACAAAATATAAACGACTCTCATGGGTCTACTGTGCTACAAACACAGTTGGCCTTCTTTCCAGGTTCTCGAAATAAACAATTTATTCATGATTCTTCTTAAAAGCGAATTGTTTTTGCTATATAATAAAACATCTGTTGACCAAGCTTGTTCAGTCAAGATGGATGGATATTAGCCTCGTTCCTTTTTGCTTTTTTCATGGAACTCGATTTCCTTTCGGTCCATAAAACGTAAAAAAGAGTTTTGCCAACATCCAATTTTCTTGACCAAACAAGCGTGGTCAATAATGCGTAGAACTTCTATTGCTTCTATCGATTGTCATATTTCACATGCACCAAAAAGGCAACTGTAATTAACCCGCGGCAAGAGAACATCAGTTCATGTACTCTTGCCCACGGAGAAATTTCGTAACGAACAGATAATAAAGTATATGTTCAGTGTTTTCGTATCCATCCGTTATTCACTCTCTACGAATCAGTTACAAGTAGCCGTGAGAGGTGACGCTTGCTCAATCTCCTCCTAACCCCTTTCGTAAATAGAGTCGAAACGGGTAGGAGGAGCGAGAAAAGATTGCTTTATTCAGGAAAACAGCTTTACTTTGGAAGGCACATAATAGACTGAACCAGGAATGCCAAATACGGGGATTTGCTGCAAGTTGTAGAACAACTTGAGATTTCGTGCCAAATAAATTTTGTCTCTGCCCAAGAATGATAACTCGTGTTCCACTTTAGAGTTCAAATTTTCTGTACATAAGTATTAACATGGTTGAGTTCTTCGTATGGTTACTCTCTTTTCTTTTCTCTTAATAACAGCCATCTTCAATTTCAGTTGTTTGAGGAGTTGAATCTTTTTTCATGGCTAACATGGGGTAATGGTTACCTGAGGGAAATCTTTGTTTAAAACTGAGAACAATAGCAATTTAAGCTGAAAAAGTCCGTAGACGATGAGAGCGAGACAGTTCCTGGTATCATGCTTCAAAATTAATGTTTGAGATACTATTGATTACTGATCAGATCCGAAGGGCCTGCGATCTGCCCATCATACCGTTAACAGACAGCCAGAGGGTCTCCAGTGCGCCAGCCTTTTCATGTAACTGACAGTTTATCAGGCCTGAGGTTTCTCTTCGTTTTATGGTAATAAAAAAGGGGAATTTCAAGACTGAAATTTTCAAGCTCAAGTGTCTCACATTTTAATAGTTTGTTTGCTCGAAGACTGTTTTGTGATTTTCCAATTTCAACCCTCCTAGTTGGGTGCTTGTGAAAAACACGCAAAATTACTTTTCCCGTTTGTAATCATGCATGATTTTCCGTCAATTTGATTAACTATTTTGATCTGTTTGCGTGGTCGGTGATCTACTTCCTACCGAAGCATGAGAGAATCTTTAAGAAAGATATATTTTTTTGTTCTACTCAAGAGAAAGATTACTGAAACATGGAGTCCAAAAGAATTAGAGCACGTATGTGAGCTGCTTTATTACTAAAATGTATGCTTGATCTTCAAAGCTATAAATATTTGACCATTTTTCTTTTAAATTCTCGCAGTTTCTCCGTGACAGTTTAGTTTACTCAGTGAAATTCAAACAACAAGCCATGCAAAGTTTTTTGAAGAATATAGGCATCCGCAGACGCAAGATAATAGCACGTTATACATGAACGAGAGAAATGGTAAAAAAGTGCAACTTATAAATTAAAACCCGAAGATCTTTTAAGAGTATTTCTCAATAATTGTGCCTTTGGTGTGAACGGTCACGCTCTCCCCTTGGAATCGCGTGACTAGCAAAGAAATAATTATGATTGAATGAATCCGAAGAGAAGACATTGTATTTTTTTTTAGATATTTTCAAATTTGTAGCTTCATATCACTTATCTCCATTCGATCGAGTGCTCGATTAATAAGCCATTGCACGATTGCACGAGCAATGAGTTACAAAGGACGCCACCTATTCCACGCGAAACTACGCGATCTCCAACAGTCGCTAAAGCGTTCATGTTAGGTCCATATCATGTCCCAATAACTAATACTTATATGTTATTAACCAAGCGCGATGGCCGTACTGGGAGAATATCGGCCCGAGGTCTTGACAGTACGGACCGAGCGCAGCAAGGTCCGTACAAAAAAAGACCGAGGGCCGATATTCTTCCAGTACGGTCCGGAGCAAGCTTGGTTAATAAGAGATTTATTGTACGACTGAAGTTCAAAGGGACACAAGTGCGGTATCATTCGGGACCATTCGGGACAGTGCCCGGTCCAATACTGAGAGAATATTGACCGGCAATAGAGCATTTTGATTGGTTGATTTTAGTCATTGGCGCTCTGACTGCCCGAGTCGCGTAAATAAGTAATCGCATGGGGCCGAGTAAAATTAAGAATTAATCTCACGCGTGTTTTCGGAAGTTGCTGAAATTGCCCCAGTCGCTGCGCGACCCGGGCAATTTCTGCAACTTCCAAAAACACAAGTGATATTAATCCTTAATTTTACGAGGAACCATGTGATTACTTGTTTATAATATAAGAGGCAAAATGTTTTCTTACTGATCTCGCGCAAAACGGGACGCCATTGTTACAAAACAAACAGAAATTTCTTTACCTTGGCAGCCGTTGCTAAGCGATTTTTAGCCAATCATTTTCAAGTAATTTTGCCCGGGGCAATTACAAAAATTAAGAAAAAAATGCTCTCAGTCTTGACCAATCACAATTCAGTAATTTTGCCCCTTATATGATAAATATTAACACTAAGCCGCGCTCGTGAAACTGGCTCAGATTAGGTCGGCGGTATATCCCCAAAAGGGTAAGTAGGTGGTGTAATAGAATATCATCAAAATGGCAGACTCAGGTGGTTTATCTGCATTACAGTTTAGTGGCGTTGAAAAGGAAGTTATAGAAAGAAAAATAAATGTTACTGATGATGCTGTAAGTATTAGAAAAGATAAACAGGAGTTTTATGAAATTTCGAGGTGCGTGGATGTCATAAGGAGTCATGGTTTTCATAAGGTGAGTGATTTGCTCTGGTCTGGCTTGGGTCGCTCCCGTGTGAAACAAAGCGTTACTCCTTTGGGAAAACTATTGTTTTCGCTATTGCTTCTTCTACCCAAGAACCGTTTGTATGATGAAGTTTGGGGTTTATACGGAAATCTTACCCTTCTCGCTTGTAAGTGTCCCAGGTACATTGTTGTAAAGTAAACACTTATTATACCTTTTTCTTTTCCGTCTTTTTTTTTTTTTTTTTCTAAGGAAAAAACTCTCCAGGCGCATATTTTTTTATTCTAAATTCTTTAAAATCGTATATTTTGTATTCAACTCAGTTGTTTACCGTATCAATTGGAAAAAAATGATGGTTGTTGTTATTAGTGTTATTATTGCACCTTATATTACAAGCCAAGATGCGCATACAAGGCTCAACACTGACTTTTTAATGTACTAGCCAAATGGCGAGGGACAACTTAGGTGTTGTGACAATTTCAGTTTGTTTACTAGCCAAACTGGCAAGTGGAAATTGAAAACCATCAGCCAAAACTGAATTTCTGCTATTCTGTGGCTAGGTGGCTACCATTAGTGTCGAGTCCTGACATGCAATATTAAAGAAACAACTCAATATGTTCAATACCCTGAATTTTGTTTTGTTTTTTTTTCAGATTGCACTCCAGTTTCCAGACTCTCTGTTAACTGATTCAGCTGCTGTTGCTTCATTGATTGAAAAGCTGACGGGGAAGAGAGTGTTTGTGTTAGCTGATACTTCATATGGAAGGTAAATTGACCCCTTGCTGTAATGACAAAGTGGATGACAGACTGAATGACAAACACTAAATATATAATCATTAGTTCTCTATGCTTTTCTTTTTAATAATGTCACAGCTAGATTTGTCCTACATGTTCACATCTTTCTTGCCCATTATTCTACATCACATAATGATTACTTTGGGAGATAACAGCTTAGGTTGAACAAGTATGTATGAATAACAGAACAGCTGTAAGCTCCTTAGCCCTATACCATTCTCTATACATTTTCCAAGGTGCTGACAAGGAGAATTTGTTCAACAATCAAGAGTTTCTTTAGTTGGTGATTTTTTCCTTTATTCTCCTGACCTTAATGTGTGATTCAGGGGTGATATTTTAAGGAGAAATTAGATGCTAGTCACTCAGAGGTCATTAAGGGTTAATGATTCATCATAGTAATAGCTTGAAGTGGAAAGAATATAAGGTGATTGGAAGTTAGATAGTGACAATGAATGAAACCTGAGAAGTCTTTTCATTAACGTACAATAAAATGGATTTTGGGAATTGATAAGTTCAGGAAGAAGTATTTTTTCCTTGGAATTATAATTTTTTTATGTTATTGCATATTGATTATTCTATTTAATCACCATCTGTCCTTTTTTAGCTGTTGTGTTGATGAAATTGCTGCAGAACATGTTGAGGCAGATTTTATTATTCATTATGGCAGAGCTTGTTTAAGCCAGTAAGTAAATGAAACAAAACTGCCAGGCCATGGTTGTTGGAAGGTTGGATAACACCGTCCACTGGATAAATTGCCATCCAATGGATAGTGCAATACATTTTGCTATCACTTATCAGCTGGATAGCAATTTATCTGTTGGAGAGTGTTATCTGGCCTTTATACAACAGTGCCAGGTGAATAAACTGATCCTACTGTAGTGGCTGAAGTGTAAAACAACTTGATGGCTGGCACACTGACTGAAGTTGAGGGATTTTTTATTCAGCTTGGTTAGGCCAGTAAGTAAATGAAATAAAACTGCCAGGTGAATAAGCTGAAGCTAAAGATCCTAATGTAGTGGCTGAAGGGTAAAACAACTTGATGGCTGGCACACTGACTCAAGTTGAGTGATTTTTTATTCAGCTTGTTTAGGTCAGTAAGTAAATGAAATAAAACTGCCAGGTGAATAACCTGAAGCTAAAGATCCTAATGTAGTGGCTGAAGGGTAAAACAACTTGGTGGCTGGCACACTGACTCAAGTTGAGTGATTTTTCATTCAGCTTGGTTAGGTCAGTAAGTAAACGAAATAAAACTGCCAGGTGAATAACCTGAAGCTAAAGATCCTAATGTAGTGGCTGAAGGGTAAAACAACTTGGTGGCTGGCACACTGACTCAAGTTGAGTGATTTTTGATTCAGCTTGGTTAGGTCAGTAAGTAAAGGAAATAAAACTGCCAGGTGAATAACTTGAAGCTAAAGATCCTAATGTAGTGGCTGAAGGGTAAAACAACTGGGTGGCTGGTAAACTGACTCAAATTTTGAGTTTTTTGTTTTTATTCATTTTTCATTGTTGCTGTTGTTACTTTTCTTCAGTGACTTGAGGCTTGTACTCAAGTGACAAGGATTCTAAATAAAGTACAGCAACATTTAAATATGTATTTGAGGTGTTTAGAAATTTTATGAAAAACTATTTTTGGTGTGATTTTAAGCTCCTGTCACATCATACGTTTATTTTACATTTTTAACTGGCCAAGAATGTATTTGGCTTTCTGAGAAGCTTAAGTCAGGTCAAGTTTATTGTGCATATACACTTAGCTTTTGTGAGAACAATCTCACCAGCTAGTTTCAAACTACTGTTTGTAGGTATAACAGAAAATAAAAATAAAAATGAACTAACTAAAGTTAAGATAATACCATCTACTGTAACTAAGGTGATATAAGATTGAAATTAAGATTTAAAACTATTTACATCGGACTAGATATATCATTTAATAAAACAAGGAAAGGTAAAACTAATTTAAGATACAAGGTGTAAAGTATGATGATCATATCAAACTTGACAAGTCTAGTTTTCTAATAGCATTTTCAAAAACCTTGACAAAGAAAGAAATTTAATAGAGCAGCTCATGTCTTCAAACAGGACACAGCGACTTCCCGTGCTGCATGTTTTTGGTAAATGGTCAATCAGTGTTCAGAGTTGCCTGGAACAATTTGGACAGTTATTTCCAGATACTGATGTCAAAGTGATTGTGTTTTGTGATGTGGTGTACGATCATTGTATGGGTAAGGAAACTATTTGATCATCACTTGAAATATGTTGTAAATTTAAATTTTAGTATAAAGGTCTATATACTATTAATATCTTTCTGTTATTTGTTGGTGGAGTTAGCTCTCAGATTCTGGGAGTTAAAGGGTTTTGGGTGATGCTATAGGGGAATCCTTGTTTACAATATTTGCCTCATTAGCATAAGCAATTCAGTTTCTGATGGAGTTAAAAATAAATCAGTTCTGAATATTGAAAGGCCAAAGTACAATTAACTCAGCCAATGAATACAAGCCTGATGCATTGAATACTTTTTGTGCAACACGGGTTTAAAAACTCAAAATTTTACATAGAATGTATGAGCTCATTAGCGCTTTTGCCACCCAGAAATTTTGCTGTATTTGATGGACTATTTCTCCTTGAATATTACACCCAAAGAGCTAAAAATTTCAGCATGTACTAAGGTTTTCTAGCTCTTTAGCTGCCTGAAGTCAATTTGTATCTAACACGCTTCCTTCTTTGCGCAAAGCTGTATGCAAATGAGCAAAAATGTAAACAATGACGTCAGCATGAATCCACCTATAGGCTTATGACTGGTATTTGCTGCCATTTAGGAGAATTGCAGAATTCTATCAAACAGAATTACTCTAATGCTGTTTTCGCAAAGCTCATCTGCTCCACGTTCAATCAAGAAGGGGACCTGTCGCAAGGAAATAAGCAAAATGTCGATGAGATCAATTCCCAGGGCATAAGAATGGAACAAACACAATCATCAGCTGAAACATTACAAGTAGATGTTGAAATGACTTCTCTTGAAGGTCATGGGAATATTCAGCGTGTTAAAAATGGTTATTTTTGTAGGTGAGTTAAATGTGATGATTTGACTAAGAGAGTATTTTCTAAAAAGGACTTTGACACAGAAAGATAGGCTTCTAATGGGAAATTCAAGAGTATATGAGAATTCTTATCTCTATTTACCTCAGGATGTGTTTCTGGTTACAACCTTGCTTTAAGATGAAGCTTTAAGTTTTCATTCTATGGCTATGGATATATAAACAAATCCAGTTGAAAAGATTCTCGAATTCTTATTTATTTCAACCCATCTAGTGTAGTATGGCCAAGTGTCGTTGGCCACTAATTTTACTTTCACCATTTTTAGGTTTGGACGTGAATTTAATCTTCCGGCAGATACACACTTGAAGGACTTTGCTGTATTTTTCATTGGCAGTGAAAGTTTGTGTTTGCACAATTTGATGATGACATATAACACATGTCAGGTATCATTTACAGTGAATTTATGGAAACTAAGGTTACATAGAATGGAAATTGTCCATCACAGGCCGCTCCCTTCCCTCCTGTCAAGATTTGTTGGCTTATTCTTGTATTGACCAGGTGTAAATTACCAGCCACTGTTCAGGAAATGAACACACACTCTTCCTTGAACTCCTTTTCTTTCTCAGAGGAATCAATGAGGGAAGAAAACGACTAAAACTGAGTCTACCCTGGGTTACATTTCTCTGACTGCACTTCAGCTCTCCTGGGTGAAGAGAAACACTGGGAGAGTAAAGTGTGATGTCCAGGAAAACAACAAAATGATTCCTTTCTGGGCTTGAATCTGCACCTTTCACCGAATATTCACCTGACATACTCCCATGCCTTAAATGTAAAGAATACCTTAATCCCTAAAGGATTGTTCTGATCTTTTGATTATGAATTTGACCACCATTCTCAACCTTGCTAATCAAGTGTTCTTCTTGATCCTGTCCACCTAGTTTAGCCCCCTAATATGATCAAACATGTAAGAGTTACAAAGCAGTTCAAAAAACATTCTTGCTTGCAGTCTGAACATGCACTTATCCAGCACACATTTCTATGTAGATAACCAGATGAGTGGATCTCCGCTTGTGATTACAGTAAACTCTTTCCTGATTTAAACCTCTTTTCAACATTAATGTAAGAATCACTTTTTCCTCTGATAGTTCTATTCATATGATCCTTGCACCAATATTGGCAGAAAAGAGACACTGAATGTGAATAAGGCACTTATGAAAAGGTAAATAATAAATTGTGGCTTTCAAAAGATTCATTGGAGATTATAGCATTTGGACTCAACTGAAACTGTTCTTTGATATGTTGTCAATGTTCATAAAGAAATCCTGCATTTTGTTGTCTCCTGTTTACAGATATTATATGATACAACGAGCCAAAGATGCACAAGTGGTTGGAATAGTAGTGGGTACATTAGGAGTAGGTCAGTAACAGTGTGATTAACTTATGATTACAAAATGGACTCCTGTTCATCATCATGATGATCAAATATTGAAGATAGCAAACAGTTAGGTAGCTTTCTTTGTGTTGTTAGTATAGTGCCTGTTATTTAAAGGTTGTTTTGAGTTATTTGGCCTGGAAACTGTGCTACATAATTAACAAGTCAGATTATTGTCAAAATACTAATTTCATGTTGTTGGAATAAAGGACACAATCATCAGGGCAACTTTGACTTTGTATCTTTTAATTTAGATACTTGCCTTTGCTATTGATTGTTATCTTAAAGCAAAGCAACACAATGATATTTCAATAAGTGAAAACAGTCTTTTAGAATGGCATAGAGTTCTTTCATTACCATTTGGAACCCTTTTGTGTACCTTTTAAAATAGGATCTCAGGGCTTTCAATAAGCACTGACGGCCGACAAAAAGCGTTGGCTACTTCTCTCAGAGAAGTCGGCTACATTTTCCCCAAATTTAAATAATTAAAGAAAGATTCTCTGAAAACTAAATTAAAGTTCATTTTGGTATGAAATTTTTACCTCAATTTCAAAATTAAATAATTATCAAAAGATCGGATGCAACTCGTTGGTCACAGCACTCGACTGATTTTGGGGTGGTGTTAGAACGCAAGAGGTTTACAAAAAATTCAACTATGTGCAAAGTACGTAATCTAATTACCGTCATTTGTTTATCATGTTCAGGAGTTCATTGTGGCCTGATAAATCGAACCTTGAATGAAAGCTGCATTTTCTTGAATGACAACCACGTTTGCTTGTTTCATGGTTTTACAAAAAGAACAGAACGAAAACAAATCGGATGCTCATTTAAGCGTTTTATCATTTTTTTTCCACTTGCATTTGAAGTCTGAGTTAAAAGCTGCAGCTAATTGATCTTAGCATGCTTACCAGGGCACCTGTCTAGCGGGTGTCCTGGTGGGTAGGCAGAGAAGCTTGCAATGTTTTTCACCCGCAAACTGTTTATGGGTTCGTGGGAAAAAAACAAAGACAAATGAATGAAAGATTAAAAATGCAACTGGACACTTTCTTACCGGTAGTAAGTGAATCTGTTAAGCTCCATTTATTTTAGTGACAATGACCTTAAACTTCTAGGAAATGCATGCAAACTTCCATTTTCAGGGTATTAGTATTGTAAAAATAAAAAAAAAATGTTGTTGTTGAAAGGGAGTTTTCCTTTATCTTTTGCACTCAGTTTGGTCTCCAGAACTCCAGAACTCCAGAAATGGCATTTCAGAGCTTCCAGATGTCAAAATTTTCTGGGGGGGCATGCCCCCAGACCCCCCTAGATTAAGGGGCCTGACAGCCGCTTGTTGGTACAGTCCGTTACTCTCACTAACCAGCTGCCTACTTGAAATTTTATTGAAACCCCTGGGATCTTTAACATTTGAACATTTTTGTCCTTTCAGCGGATTATTTAAAAGTTATTGAAAGATTGAAACAAGTAGTAAAGCTTGCTGGAAAAAAGGTACCTAAGTCTTATGTTAATAAATAGATATAAGAAAAGTCCTATAGGTAAGATTTACTTTGAGCAAAGGAAAAAAATGTGATGTAATAATATTGCTGGTGGGAAGTTGCATAAATTTTGTGATGAGGATTCAAATGAGCTTAATTGCATTGTCTTTGAATACCTCTAACAACCAACTTCAACTTTAGTGCTACCTTGCATAAGAAACAACACTGAAGTTTTTTTTAAATACGATTTACTTGTGATTTTTTTTCCCTCGGCCAAGTGAAATAATTTTGCACTGTCTTATACACTGCACCCCTCCCTCCCACCTGCACCCCTCCCTCCGACATGCACCCCTCCTTCCAACCTGCACCCCTCCCTCCAATGTGCACCCCTCCCTCCGACCTGCACCCCTCCCTCCCACCTGCACCCCACACTCCTAGAAGTGACCAAAATGGAATTTCTTACAATATAAATACTTTATCCATTCAAGTAGAAAGGTGATGTGGATAAACTTAAGACAAATTTCAAATAAGTAAAGGATACACTTTAAATAACTCAACAACAAATTCTCACAGCTAAAATTAATCTTAGACTAGTATTTTGTGGAAGATGTTGAGACAGACAGAGATGGTTGAGAGAATTTACATTTAAAGATTGGGATAGAAAGGGTCCATTATTTTTTCATATTTTTTAACTTAACCCATTAATGGCCGCAGCTTTTGTGGAAAACTGTGTTTTGAAGCTAGTTGAGCAGATTTCGGGTCACTGTTGTGGTTTTAAAAGCTCAAACTTACCAAAAACCCCTTGACAGCTCATACACTTGACGGCCTTTTGATCCAAATGCAAAATGGTGGCCTGAAAATCTCGGGCACATGCAGAAAGCAAAATTTCGAGATAGTTTTTGGGTTGAAAAGTAATGCCCCACTTACG